CGTTATCCAATACCAGTTTTGACATTACTTAGTGTCATTTCTACAAAAATACTCTGCATTTCTGCAAGCAAAGATTCTTCATGCTCAACCCAAATAACAAGATATGAATGCCCCTTTAATTTCAATTCAAGGTTTTGAAGAGACTGAATACAGAAAACATACATAATCTAGCTAGATTCTTCCAAATATCACAAAGCATTTAGGAGCAGTGCATGCAAATTAAATCAACATTCACACTTGAAAAATTACATCTGACCACCTAACCAGATTCTTTCCAAGAGGGAATAGGGGAGAGAGAGGGACAGGGAGAGAATTACTTGTACGTTGTATATTCCCAAATGATGCAGAATTCAGTCAAGCTATGTTTATTATGTAAGCTCTGAAAACAGCCCATTGTTTCAGAAAACACAGAAGCCTCTCTTGCAGAGGACAGCAAAGATCCAGGTCTCTAAGAAGCTAAAACTGGAAATAATAAACAGAGAATTTAGTATTTACTGAATTACAGAAGCACTTAGCATTGATTTTAGTTACACAAACATCAGATCAAGATCATCAGGTGAAACTGGGCTCCCCTTTATGTTAGGCTCTTCCTTCCCTTGCCTTCTTCTTTCCCATCACTACCCCTTTAGTTTGCTTCTTTTTCCAGCAACATAGGCCTGCTTTCTACAAAAAACACTTTCTTTTCTCCACACAAGTGTCTGCTCTTAACTGCCCTGAGTGCAACAACTCAGTGTAGGACTGGAAGACAATTACACAATTTACCAGCTGAGGATCTACCTCTAAGAAATTATTCTGTAGGATGAAAACCTGCAAACAATCTTACAGAAAGCACTTACTGAAGCAAAACCAACCTAAAACTCATTCTATAGGTTGGTATTTAATCACCATACTGGAATAAGGCACTGGTGTATTTAAAGCAAGGAAGGTGACAATTTACAACATATTAGAAGGACTAGCTGTACCTATAATTTTAGGATAAACAATAACAATAATAATCATACATTCACTGAGGTTGGAAGGGACCTCTTGAGATCACTTCACCCTTCCACTATTATTCACAAATTCTGATTTAGTGATTATTCACAAATTCTGCACAAATTCTGTGCAGTTTTTCCTACATTTTATTTTTCAGATTTCTCCTTCACAATACAGACTAATTTTATCTCTGGGTCCTGGTTTATATTTGTCTACATTTAACCTTAGCTGCCTGTATCACCAGCTTGATGTCCCACGGGATATCAAAAGACACCTGTATTTATGCATTTCAGTCAAGTTGCACTGATTGTGAGCAACAGCTCGGAAAAAAAAAACGTGCCAAATTATCAACAGGGGTACAAGAACACATCATGAAGAATGTGAAATTTTTCATGGAAATTCTAACTGCCCCTTCACTGAACCTGAAATGAAGAACTGCTGCATGAACACGAGTGTTTGGATTGAAAAGCTAAAAAAAATTACACTTCTAAATACTATGGAAGAGATAAACAATCTGGTTTCAGAATATAGAATAATTGTTTTTGACATTTGTCCTGGTTTCAGCTAGGATGGAGTTAATTTCCTTCCCAGTAGCTGGTTTGGTGCTGTGTTTGGGATTTTGGATGCAAATAATGCTGATAAGGCACTGATGTTTTAGCTGTTACAGAGCAGTGCTTACACTAAGTCAAGGGCTTTTCAGCTCCTCGTGCTGCCCTGCCACTGAAGGGCTGGGGGTGCACCAGGCGCTGGGAGGGGGCACGGCCAGAGCAGCCAGCCCAGGGTGGCCACAGGGATGTCCCACGCCACGGGATGTCGTGCTGAACACGTAGTGAACAAGTAACAGTCTCCTGTACAAAACATTTTAAAAGATCCATAACGTAGTAATTTGCTATTGGATGAATCCCCCTCTTACACTGCAGAAAGATGTTCTTTACATCTTCAATTTCAACACAGTCCTCACGGGTCCTAAAATACTAAAAATGATTAATGTCTTGAAAATACAACACCTGATCTGCTAAACACATGCTGAATTTTTTTCCTGCTGTGCAGGGGAAAATAAGTGAACAACACTCTAGTGGACTTAAAAGAAAAAAAAAAAAAAAAAAAAAGGAAAGATTCCCCTTTAGGATACCCTTTTATGCCAAGTTCACAGCAGTATCATTGGTCCAGTCATATATACTCACTTCTAAAACGAGAGCGTTTTCTGTGCTTATAGAGGTATTCAAATAATTTTCAGTAAGACTGTTCTTTATGCAAAGAAAGAACTTAGTATCACCTCCTTCATAGGCTTCCCCCTTTTTGCACTAATATTGTACTGCAGAAAAACACCCACAACCCCATGGCATACCTGTCAAAGAAACCACAGAATTTTCCATTTCGTCTTTGGTTGAATATATATATATATATATATATATTTTTTTTTTTTTAATTGATTTATTTCTCAATAATGCTGTACTTCACTGGTGAAGAAACAACATTGTCCTTCCTCCTCCAAAAGCTAAGCAAGAAACCAAAACCAAGGCTGAAAATGAACAGCAGTGTTTCTAAGATTATTCAACTACGTGGCAGGACAGCAACAATTTCTCTGAACCTATTAACCACAAGAACTGCTTAGGCAGTTAAATACGTTCACTCAACCAGCACTTCATCCTCACGATGACATATCTAAACTAGTTCTTCCTGCTTATGAGAAAGATCTGATTTGAACACAGGTTGGTGTGATAGGCAGGAACTAGACATCTGATCAAAACAGACTCTGAGTAGCCATTACAGTGTGCAGATCTGTCTGCTAAAATGCACCACCGGTATAATTCCCATTTTATTTTGTTATTTCATTTCAGGCTTAGGTCTTTCAAAATCAGGACTTATGCTTTTATGCAGATAAAGTCTGAAGGACAATTTCCAGTTCCAAATATTTTTGGCTCAGAGCCCAGGGCCTTTGTTGCTATGAGGTGCAATAGCCTCACGTGAAGAAAAGGAAAACAGGAATTGAGTGAGAGGAGAGACCTTTACAAACAGCTACTGTTGGCTTCCCTTTGAAGGGATCTCAAATGTTAGGGCGTGCTTCACCTCTTCACCTCCTACCTTGTTCATCCTAATCTTTCAGCCCTGCAGCAGGATAACATGCAAGCTACTGTAAGAACAGAAGTGAGGAATAAGCTACATTTTTCATGTATTTCACCTTGCCAACCAGGTGCCATCAGCAAGCTCAGGCCAGATGAACTCTTTCAAGATTCCACCAACTATACATTATTTTTCTGCCAATGGAGGTCTTCAACTATCTTTCCATCTAACCTGTTTTCTCTGCTGAAAGCTGTTGGTTCTGCAACAATTTTCATTCTCCACATTAAGCCCAGGCCTATTTGTAACACAACTGAGAACGAAGAGGCATGACTTCCGAATTTCACTGACATACCCATCTTCTCAACTGCACAAAATACTGTAACACCATTTCTAATGAGTAATTACCACAAGATTATAGAAAAGGCTCCACAAGTGGTCTGAAAGAAATAAAGAATAATTGCCTATGCCTGACTATAGACATTGGGTCTCTGTCTTCCTGGGGGAGACCACTAATAAACAACCTAAACAATAGTACCTCCCAAATTTATGTCTAGGCACTAGTATTTGCTGGATTTGCTGTTATAACAAGTACCATATTACTATCACAACACAACATTATAATACCACATCAAGGCAACCAAGCATTCAAATCATAAAGGTAACCTATCCTCACCGTCTTCACAGAGGATTAATAGGAAAAATGTCCAGTAAATAGCGTTACAGAGCAATGGAATGAGGCCATAATGGTTTCTTTCATAATTATTTCTACAGCTCTTGCATACCTTCTGCTTTCCCCCTCCTTACCAATACTGACTAATTGATTGCACAGCCATTGTTACCACTTTATGGAAAGCATTTCTACTGGTGTAAAATACTGACCTAACATTGCATCACAGCTTAGGAATCTACATAACTTCCTAATTAAGGTCTGGAACAGTAACTTAATTGTTGTAGATGTCCTGAAAAGTGCTGTAAAAGCCTTTTTTTTCCCCCCTCTTAAAACAACACCTATCTCCCTCAGACCTCTGGTACTAGCAGTTAGCCTTCTGCAAAGGGAGACTAAGAATGGTATTGGTCTGATTTTCATTTGTTATTGCTGTTTGTCAAAAATCTTTCACAAAAGCTGCCATGATAGAAGTTTGTCTGTCTCCTGTGAGTTGTTGAGCTTAAATTTTGTAAGTTGTCCCGTGTTGATGGTAGTGTGTTAGCAAAATTAAACAAAATTATTATTTTTGACATCCCACACTCCTTAACCTCAGTGAGCTAAGTACATACGCTGAACTACTGACAAATACAATTTGTAAGATTTAGATACCACAGCTCAGTAACTGTTTATGAACGTTTCCATTATTTTCACAGCTACACAAGCTGTGTATTATCACGCATCACCAACTATGCCACAAGTTGCTAAAGTACATGGTTTATCCACAGATATGAAGCCGGCTCAGTTCATTCACCCATACATAAGGTGTTGGTTCCTTACTATGCAGCTTTTAAAATAAAGGCAAACCAAAATTACCAGCATAAAATAAAAAGCACTTTGCTTCTTTAACAACTTCACAAAATACATTCACACCCCTGAATATCACTTGCCAGAAGCAGCTGTTTGTGAATTACATGGGCCCTTTTGCAATAATCTTGTTTTTATTACATTTGGTGCTAGTTTTCCCACTGCAGTCAGTGGAAACAGCTTTTTCTATTCTTGAAACAAGGGCAAGGTGAAGGTGAGAAAGCCTTTTCAACCACAGAAGTAGGCATTAAACTAGCTACAATTTCACCTTTTTGTTTGACTTTGTTTTTTCCACAGATTTCAGTTCAGCCAATTAAATGCAAAGTTCTAAAGCGTTTACACCAATTATTGTCATTTGTACCTTTGTGGACTTTCGGTCCACAAGCTGAAAAAAACGCTGCTTTGTGAGCACAAAAAAACTGAGGCAGACTGCCCGGTGCACAAGCCTTACCTGCATCACGGTGACCACATGGCAGGGATTCAGCAGGTAAATGACGGTCCTGGTGGCAAACTTGAAGCCCACCTCCAGCCCGAAGATGAGACAGAGGGCCACCAGCAGCAGGTTCTTGCCCAAGCTCTCCTGCTTCGCCCGGGGCTGCTGCAGCAGCTGAGCCTCCAGCTCCTTGCAGTGCAGCTGCCTCAGCTTCCACAGGGACAGCAGGATCTCCGCGGCGCCCACGCTGAGGAAGACGAGGCTCTCCACAAAGCGCTGCTGCCCTGAGAGGAAGGCCGCGCACTCCGGCCCTCCGTTGCCGGCGAAGCTGGGGTCCACGCCCCCGTACATCCAGTCCAGGAGGTTGTGCAGGCTGTACCGGGACATGGTGGGCCGGCGCCCGCTCTCCTCCCCGTCACTGCCCGGGCGCAGGTAGGAGCAAGTCGGAATCAAAGCCGAAATGCTGTCGGGCTGACGGAACATGAAACGCGAGGACGTCCCGCCTTCCTGCCCGAGCCTTTCCTTTCTCCGCCGGCAGCCTACGAAGAGAGGTGGCACTCACGGGAGGCGGCGAAACCCGGGGAGGGGGGGGGGAGCCGCGGGCCCCCGGCTCTCCTCAGGCCGCCGCCCGCCGCCTCCCCGCCCGCTCGCCTCAGGCGCCGCAGCCCCAGCGGCCGCCGCTCGCGGCCCTTCCCGCCCAGCGCCGCCCTGAAGGGGCGGCCCCGGTGCCTCGCAGCCCCGTACCTCAGAGCCCGGCGCTTCAGAGCCCGGCGGCGGCTCCGTTACCCAGCTCGGCCCGCAAGAGGCGGGCCCAGCTCCCCCGTTCCGCGGGGCCGGGAAGGAGGAAGCGCTCCCCTCAGCGGCGGCGGGGCGAGCCTCCCTGCCGCCGCCCTCCCCAGCGCCGCAGCATCCCCTCCCTCCCTCCCCGCCACATACACACGCAACGTGCCCGAGGCGCCCCGAAAAATGGACGAGCCACGCGGGTGGCTCCTCTGTTCCGGCTCCTCTGTTCCTCCTCCTCCTCTTCTTCCTCCTCCTCCTCCTCCTCCTCCTCAGCCCGCCCGGCCCGGCCTCCAGCCCTTTGTGGGCCCGGGGGCTGTGGCAGGACCGCTGGCCGAGGCTGTTCTGAGGGCTGCCCACGCTGCCCCGCCGCAGGTTTTGAAGCGGCTGCAGAGAACTACGTGCAGGGCGGGCCCCGGCTGCGATTTGCCTGGCGAGTAGGCAAATGATCCGAGTTCTTGCCAAAATTTCATTATCGGAACATGGTGATGTGAAAGTGAAATTCGCAAGTGAAGGAAGTGGTGGTTGAGAGCAGGAAAACCCATTAGCGCTGCTCTGTTATCGATGCATTTTCTCCATTCCCTATCTCAGTAATCCTGGTTCCCTGCTGCTCCCCACACGGCTACCTCCCCCAGACCCCTCCTTGTGCCTCCAAGACCCCCCCAGTGCCTCCCAGTGCCAACCAGCACCAGAGGCCCCAGAAGCCCACAGGAATGCCCCAGCGCTGCCGTGCTGTTTGCAGGCACTCTCTAGCTTTTCCATCAGCACAGATGCTGAGGGCAAGAGCATCTCCTGTCCCTGTGTGTTCTGGGAGCTGCTGGCAGCTCAAGACTACCACACCAGCTCAGACCAGTTTGAAACTAAAAGCTCGGCTGTGGACCTGTCACCGCCAGCCCATCAAAACAGATTTATGCTGTGCTCATCCTTTTTGGCTTAGTCACCTATCTAAGTCTCTTGCACGCGCCCAGTTCTGAGGAAAAGGACTGGTAGTGTGACTGCATAAGATTCATTTCCTGGTGAACAGAATCTAATAATTCCTGACTATGTATTGGTATCCTAAGTACAGGCCTTCTTCACTTTACAAAAAAGGAGTTCAGGAAATGAGGAATCCCAGAAACAGACCACAGGCACTGCAAGGTGACAGACAGAATGAAACTCAGAGGCAAGTTACAAAGCTGTCTGCAATTGTAGCAAGAGTGGCTGTCCTATGGCACAGGGCTGGGGAGATGGACCTGTGCCAGGTTGTGCATGAGCAGACAATCCAATTGGTAGACTCCAGGAGAGAAAATACTCTGTGCTTATCTTTACAAGCAGTATTCCTGTATTTTACTAATAGGGGAAGAAAAAACTGCCAAGCTAGTGATGTTAGTGCTGAGCTGCTTCAACTGTTGAACAGAAATTGTAATAAAGGTTGCGATATTTGGGGGGGAAAGAATATAAGTATGTATCTAATACATAATACATTCTCTATGTGTTTATATTATGTGTACTCTATTAAAGACATAAAATAATGAAAGAAAACAAATTATAATCACAGTAAATAAGAACTAGATGAAACATATGCAAGTGTTCTGGACTGATCCATGCAGTTATTGATTTCCCAGTTCATTTACCATAATTTAGGTGAGGTCAGTAGTATCACTGTGTTAAAATCCTAGAAAAAGCTCTTACAGAATAGCTTAGATCTTAATCTTAGCTTTGAGTTAATGAGGAACCTATTAGAACAAGAAAGTGAAACTGCAAGGGACTAGTATAGTCTCTTTCAAAATTGAATAAGTGAAAATTTAACAGCAGGGCCAAAATAGCCTATGTTTTATAACAAGCATAAAGCTATTTTTTTTATAAAATGTTTGCAAGATGAGTCTGCCCCTGTATGGATTACTTCTACCTGAATATGCTGAAACATTAGTTTTGTTTTCAGTTAAAATATGTAGTCAGCAAGGCACTTGCAAAATATTACCTGGAGAACTGTATTAAAAGGTCTATACAAAACTGGCAGGATAGAAAGCAATGGTTCATTGTTGAAAGGAAAGATACATTGGTGGGTTCCCAGCATGTGTCCTCAGTCAGGTTCTGCTTGGTATTTTTATTAACAATGCAGGTAAAGAAATAGAGAACATACTCATCAATTTTGCAGGTGACTCAAAGCTGAGGGGAAGAGAAATCAATTTCAAAATATTCTTGATAACTCAGAAACATTTTTTTTTTTAAAACAACAACAACAAAGAAATCCAGTAAGAATGAGATGTGTCATAGTTCAGTAATAATATTCATATAAGCCAGCTACTGTGAACCGCTGCCTTTCCCTTCCCCATGCTATTCATTTTCACTCTCTTATGCTAGCATAAGCTCTTCTGCTTGACTGTGTAAGGAAACTGGTTAACATTACAACTCTAATCCCAGAAACAGCTGGAACCTGGAGCACCTCCCTTCTCCATTTTATCCTACTTTGGGTTACGGTGATGGGTGACCTGTTTTTCTGTGATTATCACAGAATCACAGAATCACAGAATTTCTAGGTTGGAAGAGACCTCAAGATCATCGAGTCCAACCTCTGACCTAACGCTAACAGTTCCCACTAAACCATAGCCCTAAGCTCTACATCTAAATGTCTTTTAAAGACTTCCAGGGATGGTGACTCCACCACTTCCCTGGGCAGCCTGTTCCAATGTCTAACAACCTATCCACTTACTAAAAAGGAGCATAGTTGGTGTAAAAAGGATACCTTGGTATAACTGATACTTTTTAGCAACATCACATGAATTGTTAATTCATGGTTGGATTGTGGTCCACTACAAATGCAAGAGATTTGGGTTCTCAGTTCCTAATCTGCTGGGTGGTTTACACACAGCTCTCTGTGTTCTCTTCATTCTCAGTGTTTTGGTTTCAGCTTCTTTCAAAAGCACTCTGAATTCTGTAAGAATTGAGTAGTATTGACAGAGCACTGAGCCGTTGCTCTTTTCTGTTTGTTAACCATTTCTTCTCTTCCTTTCACTAAGTAATTTATGCTCTCTCTAAGATCCATTGTAAACATATATATCTCATGTGTCAATAGAAATGGTTCCCTAAAAGCAATAAATTCCTGTGACTAAACTGTTTGCACAAGAGCCTGAGGCTTGTTCTTGTATCTAATGTTTGATTTGTTTTTCTGTCCGTGACTTCTTAAAATTATCAAAGCAGTGAAATCTAATGTCAATCCATGAAGGAATGACAGGGCCTCGGGTATACCCATGGTCCTTAACCACCTGGAGCACACACATCCCAGGAGTTCTGTTTTAGCTCTGGCCTGGTCCCAGGGGCTTTGTTCCTGTTTCATGAAAGAAACCTGAAGAATAAATCAATTATGTCCTGTTAAAGTTCATATAATAAGTCTGTGGTAGTCGGGACTGCACCAAAAAACTCCTGATTTACCCTCTTCCATTTAATCTTTTCTTCTCCCACATTCATTAGGCATTTCTTGGCCAGCCATGAGCAATGCAGTCTTGCAAGGCTGACTGTGCACAGGAGAGAAAGCTTTGCTTTGTTCCCTCAGCTTACAAATTAGCATTAATGTTGTTTTATGTGCTTGATCTAGAAAGTAAGAAGTGTGTCATATGTGAATTCCCACTCTTACAGACACAGGTGCAAGGAATTAAATGAAAATTGCCTACCTAAGATGGGAAGTAAAGAGGCCATGTGAATGGAAGGGAAAAACAGGAATGGGGACGAGTTTTGCAGAGTTGTGAGGTACCAGTTAAAGTACTGCAGCTTATTTACAAGAATTTTCAATAAAAGAATGTGAACCTTATATGCAGGACCTTTGATCTGATGATCTTTAGAGATGTAAGTGGAGTCTGAGTCAGTTACAGACAAATTTATCCTTCTCATATGCTTATCATGGAAGGTGGGCTGAAATTCCTTGTTAGCCCGTCACTTCTTGTCTGAAGAACAGTACTTGGCAGAGTACTGCAGTCTGAAGTATGCCTTGAGTGCTCAGAATGAGACTGGGAATAGCCACAGTGCAGCGGTTGCAGACTTGGGGCATGAATATATTCAGGTCATGTCCACAGAAAGCAACCACATTTCTGCTGCTTAAAATTGCAAACCAGAAGTCTTGCTGCCATACAAAATGGAAACCAGAGTCTCCTTGGCTTTTCAGTGACATCCTACCCCTTTCCACTTTTCACCTGGCCTTTTTGCTGCATTCTCTCTAACCCACAAATTAAAGTGCTTTTCTTTCCCAAATCAGGAAAATTGCTTCCCTACTCTGAATAAACCTTCAGAAGTGTGTACACATACATGCTTCCTCTCTCCTCTTCCTTGCAATTTTCTTTTTTCATTGTTAGCTTGGCTGTGATATCCCAAGCTGAGATCTACAACATCTCAGAATATTTTATAATCTGAATACAATTCTTCTCCTTTTTTTTTTCACTTTTCAAAAAGTAATCAGAATCATGATCATTTGCAAAAGCAGTGGGGCTGCAAATAATGATGTACTGACTGGCAAATGCTGATCACATACTTGATTTGCTGTATTGAGTACAAGCAAGAGATACAGACTGCTCAGTTTTGATTCATATTTTTAAACAATTTTATTTTACTTCAGTGATGGGACAAGAGAATATTAACTCCAGGCTTCAAAACTGTTTAGTTTAGAAAAATATCTAACCAAGAATATTTCCTTCATTGGTAGTTTTTAAAAATGCATTTCTTCTTGCTCATGCTCAATTTGAGCATGCTGCCAGTTCAGAAGTAGACTTCTCTTTCTCAGGCTTTCAGAATAACTGTTGGTGGTTCGTTCTCAAGTTCTGGGGAAAAAAAAAAAAATACCCTTACCCTCTTAGGGCACAAGAACAAGACACCTCCCAGCAAATCTTCTTGCATACTGGTGTCAGCAAGTGAAACAATCAAGAGCTCGTAGTTATATTGTCATTAAGCTCTGGAGTAAATATTCTGCCCCCCAGAGAGAGATGCTTATAGATATTATACTTTTTTAAAAGTTGAATTATTGATAGTTCACACTTTGTAAACTACATTTGCAACTAGAAGCAACTACAGAGCAACTACCTGGAAAAATTCAGTCTGGTAAGCCATGGAGTAAAAGAATGGGTTTTCTAACATTTTCCTTTTCCTTCTCCTTCTCCTGTTCCTTGTTTCTCCTTACTACAAGTCTAGTTTCAGAGATATACTACCATTCGTTATTCTGACTTCCTTCTGTTTATTCAGTTGCTCACATATATATTTTATGAATTTAAAGAGAGGCTTGTTGTAGTGTAATTGCTGATTTCCTCTCAAGGAATGTTCTTGTGAGAAAGATGAAAGGCTGTAGAACTTATCATATCTCTCCGTGTCAGCTAATTTAGCTAGAACATATGCTAGACAATACTGAAAAACAGTAAATGTCAACTTGAAACATTCAAAATAGAAGCTTGAAAAGCATACCACATCTTCCATAAAAAGCCGCAGTATTAATAGGCACAAAAACAGTTGGATGTGAAAGCAGGCATAAATCAAGAAATAATATTGATGTGTGTGA